GTACGGGCGCGACACCGAGGGTTGCGATCCCCTTACCGGTCAGTAAAAAAGACAAAAAGGAAAAAAAAAAATCCGAACTATTAAGTCTATTAAATAAATCATGAGGAATATTCACAGTCGTGGTGCACGTAACTGAGACCAATGACTCACCTGAGAAAGAGGCAGAGTTTGTCTTCCTTTAAACAAACTTTTTTTGGAAAGGGTCATATAGTAAATATTTTAGGATTTGCAGGCAATAAGGTTTCTGTTGGAACTACTTAGCTCTGCCCTTGTAGCACAAAAGAAGCCTTACCTAATGTATAAATGAGTATGGCTGAATTCCAGTAAAATTTTATTTACAAAAACAGATGGCTGGGCCAGCCCGTGGCTCACTCGGTAGAGTGCGGTGCTGATAACACCAAGGCCACGGGTTCGGATCCTATATAGGGATGGCCGGTTTGCTCACTGGCTGAGCATGGTGCTGACAACACCAAGCCAAGGGTTAAGATCCCCTTACCGGTCATCTTTTAAAAAAAAAACAGATGGCTGACTGGATTTGGCCTGTGGGCCAAAATTGCCGACATCTGCCTAAGACCAGTGTTTCTCAAGCTTTATTGTGTGTACAAATCACCTGGGGATCTTGTTAAAATGTAGATTCTGATGCAGTAGGTCCCGAATAGGGCTTAAGAGTCAGCTTTCTGGGCTGGCCCCGTGGCGCACTCAGGAGAGTGCAGCGCTTGGGAGCGCGGCGGCACTTCTGCCGCGGGTTTGGATCCTATATAGGGATGGCCGGTGCGCTCACTGACTGAGTGCGGTGCAGGCGACACCAAGCCAAGGGTTGCAATCCCCTTACCAGTCACAAAAAAGACAAAAAAAAAAAAAAAGAGCTTTCTAACAAGTTTCCAGAGGGTACCAATGCTTCTAATTTATGGGCCACACTTTGAGTAGCAAGGCTCTAGACCTTCACTGTCCAATACAATAGCCCCTGGCTCCATATGGCTATTGAAAACTTGAAATGTGGCTAGTCCAAGTTGGGATGTGCTATAAAATACACTCTAGATGTCAGACATCAAAGGCTTAGGACCTGAGGGTAAGAATTTTAAAATTTTTCATTTTTAAATATTGATTACATGTTAAAATGGCAATTAAAAATAATTCCACCTGTTTTTATTTTTCTAATGTGGAGAGAACTTTAAATTACATACTTGTGTTTGTAGTTTGCATTATATTTCTATTGGACGGTGCTGCTGTAGACCATATCCATCTTTGAAAGGTGACCTAAAAGCAAGACTTACAGGCAAGTAAAAGGAAAGGAGAAAATACCTCAACAAGTTGAAAGTTGGTTTGACATTTGGAAATGCTCTAGAGTTTAACCAGGATTTTTTTTTTTTTTTTTAAAGATGACCAGTAAGGGGATCTTAACCCTTGACTTGGTGTTGTCAGCACCACGCTCAGCCAGTGAGCAAACCGGCCATCCCTATATGGGATCCGAACCTGTGGCCTTGGTGTTATCAGCACCACACTCTCCCGAGTGAGCCACGGGCCGGCCCTAACCAGGATTTTAATAAAAGGAGATCTTGGATATGTTGTTTTATTTGCTCTTCAGAGAAAGGCAAGGTGCTACTCTCTGTAAAGGTGGCCCATTAACCAGAATCATATCAAAAGCTCTGATTTCTGAAATTTATAAAATGAAGGCAAGTACAGTGCAGATTGTTTTTCATAGTCGAAGTAAAGTTGAGCTTTAAAATGTCATTTGGTGGACAGTACCACTCCTTGCTAAATTCCTAGTGCAATTAAACAGCCAGCTTTACTTGTCAAACTTGGCAAATATTTTTAGTCAAACTTGAGTCTAATTTGATGACCCCCCCACTCACACACACACACACACCACCCCCACTCCATTGTTGCCTGTGGTGCAACACTATGTCAGAAGATGGGATCTGGAATTCATCTTCAAACATCCCACCTGTTCAAATCACTTTGGAAGGCAAATCTCCCTTCCACATTTACTTCTTCAGAGCAACTTCTGATTACAGCTATGCACCACACAGTGACGTTTTGGCCAACAACGGCCGCATATACAATGGCAGTTGGAGCAATAGGCTATGCCAAGTATCTTAGGTGGCTAGGTTTGTGTAAGAACAGTCTATGATGTTTGCACAACAACAAGATCGTCGAAGGACACAGTTCTCATGACTAAGAAACACGACTAACCCAATGTACTCTTTAAAGCTAGCATTTCATTTTCATTAATCCTTTCTTTCAAGGATCTCATTTTTCTCTGCTGGTGATTCTTATAAACAAATATTTCTTGTTTTGATCTGAACAATCCATTCTAGTCTTTCAAATGGAGTTATTAAAGTCTAGGCTTTGTTTTAGTAATTGAGATGAAGGTCAGGAATTTATGACCAGCATAAGATAAATGGAGTAATTTTTGCATGTTTAACTCACATGAGCAGATAAACTATTTTTTTAAGTTAGAATTTCTTGTTCTGTCATCTTAGAATTTGCTTGCCGACTCATGAACTTTGGACAAGTGACTCAGTTCTTCTAATTCTCATACCTCTTTAAAACTATGCTGCCTACCTTACATAATGCTTACAGAAAATGAATATATCGGGCCGGCCCGGTGGCGCACTGCTACAGTGCGCCGCTTGGGAGCGCGGCGGCGCTCC